CTTAAAGCTCTTCTCTGAAAGGATTTTTCCTGTGGCACTCACAGATGGATGTGCTATCTTCTGGCTGAGGAACAAGTTCCATTCCATCACGTATTTCAGGTTTGCTGGCCTGGTGCTCGGCATATTTCTGAAATGTGTGTTTGAAGGCAAGTGAAAGATTAGTCCACACTTCATTCCATTGACTCCTCAACCTCACCCCCACCCCCAATCATGCCAACCTTGGCTTAGACAGCCAGTCCACAGGCTGACTCACTAAATACTTCTGGAAGCAAGACACAAGGCACTCAGGCCAAGCACATGGTCTGAGGATGCCTGACCCAGCAGGGTGGACACTCTGGACTGACCTGTAGGACCCTGTAATAATAGCAGTAAAGCCTGTGTGGCTGGAGTAGGTCCCTAGCAGTCAACTGCCCTTCTTTGGCAATGTTCTTAGCTTCTTCATCATTTTCCTGAAAGATTTAAAAGAAAACAAAACAATGAATGAAAATTACTCCTGCAATCCATTAAGAAAGGAGGATTGAGTGTGAGGCAGGACAGATGCGGGTCGGAATGTGAACAGCATGGAGAGATGGTATCTATAATGGAAATATAACTTAAGAATGAGGCTATGCAAAGAGACAGAGTACTTTCCTAGACATCTCTGTGAAAGAGAACTGATCATATGTGTTTGGCCCCTGTTGTACCACACCGGTAAACCATCCCCTCTCCCCACAGGGCCACGACCTACATGCAGCCTCTGTTATGACTATCTTGGCACTTTTCCAGCTACACAGAAAGTAAGCTTGGGGTTCATCATCTGTCCTGCCGGCTTAGCCCTCTCTGCTTGACAGTAGAATCAATCCATTTTCATGTTATAACATCTTTTAAAAGCTCCATGTAAATATGCAGTCAAAAATTTGTGTTACAAAATGGTAGCTAGGAGAGACTATATTGTTTTTGTAATAAAAAAATTCAGTCATAAGTACCCACAGGCTGTTCATTCAGTACCAGGAATAGTCAGTCTTTCTAATTATACTTTTGGAAAACGGTTAATATTCTACCATCCTGCCCACAGGAAAAGCCATTTGCAAGCAACTGTGGCTTTTATAAAGTGTCACAAAAATGATTCTGCCTCAGGCACCCAGTTATTTCTATAACCATATATTACTTCTTAGAAACTTAGAATAAACTCTTATAACAGAGGAGTACATTTTTAATGTTTTATAATAAACACATCAGCTTTTGAATACTTTTCCTTTCAAAAAAGGAATTCCTATTTTATGGGAAACTTGTGACTTTCGGAACGTTGTGTCACATGCATTCATTAACAACTTGCCCCCCATAATATGCTGAAAAAAAAAAAAAAAAAAAAAGAACTTGTGCCCTTCTTCTAACTGGAGAAAAGAAAAGAGCACTGTAATTGCCTTAAATGTTTTCTTATGCATAAAGCACTTTGTGCCTTTTCAATCAGTACTTTGTATTTCGTGTGTTCTTGTTTGTGTGTGTAAGCATGAATAGTGATTCATCTAGAAAATTTATATACTTACATAACACTGGGCTTCAAATCTTCCAAAAATCCTCAAAAATACTGATAGAGGGTATGCAAAATGATTCTGATGCTGATTCTTTAAATATTTCATGGGAACAAAAATTTCAGAAAATAACATTTTTTTTTTATTCCATTATGTCAAATTGTGTTGTGATAGAACTTGTGTAATTAACACTGGTGAATTTGTTATTGCCTAAAGAAATGAAAATGGCAGGCAACATACCTTGGCCCATTTCACTTTCTCTAGTAAATCACTAAGATTTCTTTTAATTGGAACATAATGTTTCCAAGGTTTTAGCGCCACGTAGAAATGTTCGTAATATGGCGAGTCCTGTTTTAGGACCAGACTGTCGCCTAGCATGAGATACGGATATCTGTAAGCAGCCACGGTCCCATCCACATTCACTTGATACTTGTACTGAAAGATTAAAAACAAACAAACAAACAAAACTTTTAACAGTTATTTGCCTCACTTCGGCTTCCCTTCAACACTGTCATACTAAATCCAAAGGAACTATTTTCCATTTTTCAACTTTTGTGTTTAAAAGTTTTATCATTTTTTCTTTGTAGTAAAATCAGAAGCAGCCTTTAGTAGATCAATTTTAAGAAATATAACACATTTACAGGTACAATGATAAATAATTTTAGGAAATAGGGAATAAAGATCTATTTCAATTATGTCTATATAATGGGGAATATACAGACTTCTGTAACCAGATAGGAAAACTATTTTCAAAAGTT